CTTTAGGAAAATATAATAGGGAAAACAGAATCAAAAGTCGCCGATAACAACGGCAACGTTGTAAATGAAATCGAAATAATAGAAACGCCAAAAGCAACTAACGTTTTGCTAACTATTCTTTTAACAATTGTTCTGACAAAATCTGCCTACGATCTATACCAATGCACAGTGGCCAATTTTTGGAAAACCCTGGCCAAAAGTCCAAAAAGATTGGTGCATTCGTATGCATAACCATCCTATATTGTTAGGAGGGCTCTCTTGCGTATCGCTATGAGACAACAAGTCGATTCGAGGCTTTTAGTGTTACAGGAGATCGCAGTGACTGTTGCTAGCAATTCGTTCTAAACTTTTTGTAAATTAGAGTTTTCGTCGTTGTTAAAATGGTGGTATTATCCTTAAAAAAATAAAAGTTTTCAAGTATCCGCTCATGGACATTGCAATCTAGAGTATGTAAAACATGTTTTTTCATTGTCACGCCATCTAAAAACTGACGTAGGACGTAGATATTCACGGATTGATTTTTTTGTTTACTCATTATGATGGATTAGGAAAATAGTTACGAGAGTGGTCGAGAAGGGCGGTCTAATTTTCTTTTTCATATATATTGAAGTTTTTCCCATCCATCTTGGTTAAAACCACCTGCCACAAGCCGCCACTGTAGTTTGGACATCCGTTTTTATACGCGATTCTTAATTTTTTTTGTGTTTAAAAGATTTAAATTATGTAAAAAATTATTTCTGTCAAGATTTTGATGTTTTAAAGATTGGATGTTTTTAGAATTCCAATGATGTCAGAAAGTACAACTATATTAGAGTGCTCATACATAGGCACCCCTGCCAATTGGGCAACTTTCCGAAGAAGCCCAAGAGTCAAGGAATAAGGATATTAAAAAATATCTGCTGCTTGTACCCTCGGACCCTGTCATTTCAAGTTTACGTTTAAACCCACCAAAACAAAATCATAAACAGTCGTCAGATGCCATTTAATTATTATCAACTGTTGTAAATGCGGATGCGGAATTGCCATCAGAAAATATAGATATGAGCTTGGATACTTCAGATGATCTTAAAAATATATTCCTGTGCCAACAAATATGTATGTCTTGTTTATTGATTCATTCAAAATCCCGCAGTTCCCGTGTAAATTTCAACATCAAGATTTTTAGAAACAAACATTAAGACCTCGTTAGTATTTGTCCGAGCTTCTCTTCCGATTTGTGGCGTGCGCCTTGATGTTGGCGCACAAAGGAGAGGGACCAAAAGTTTTACGCCGAATCCGAACGGGGATTTTATTTTTATGAGAAGCTGTTCTTCGTGGCTGAAAACACTCGGTGGTTTGCCATTGCCTGCCAATGGGCGACTTTATTACAAAAAACTTGTTTGTTTCTTATTTTTTGATGTTGGTCGGAAACTGGGCTTGAACCCAGGCCCTGCGGAATGATAGCGTATATTGCTAACCGCTACATCACATTATATAACAAAAAAGCAGAAAACATGACCTTTTATACTTAACTACCTTAGTTTTGCTAAAAATCTGATTATTTTAAGCGTACACACCAGCCATTATGGATCCGCCATTTTGCATTTCGAAGTTATGTGGTGAAATTTAAAACCAGCAACCAAAATAAAGACGAATACACAAGGTTTGATTACAATTGTACCACGCTTCGACTTTTGGCCAGCTTTTTCGAAAAATTGGCCACTGTGAAATGGCATAAAGGCGGTATAAAGAAAAAATGTCTAAAAAGAGTCGCCTCGATTGAACAGAAATAATGAGCCCATGGGAAACTGTTGTTGAAAAAATTAAAATACAGAAAAATATCTTTTTAAAATCACACAGGTGTCTCACCCTAAATCGTTCAATACCACGATTGAGAGAATACAAAGGTTGCGCCGATCTCGGACCGCTATTCCTCTCTTAACGAATTTGACAGTATCGCTGTTTGCATGACGTCACACTGGTGCAACTCTCCGATCGGCGCAATCTTGTATTCTATCATTCTTGGTTCAATACGTAGAAATACTGTATTTAAACATCTAAAAATCTTGCATAACAGCATAGAAAACATTAGATGCAGAACTAACGCCTATAACAGTCGTTTTACTACAAGGCATCAAAAACTAGCCAACGAAACATTTAACGATCTCAAAGAGAAATTAATAAAAACTCTTTTAAAATTTGGTATAGACCACAATATTTCAATTAAGCTAGAAAAACAAATTGAAATACTAAAGACAATACTAAAGAAAGTAAAAAGATTGAGAACACCAACGCAATGCCGCAGACAGCCGTAGAGTCTCTTAGTAATGCCGCGCGACTCATACCAGAGTTTGACGGTAAAGCAGAAAATCTGCGCAGTTTCTTGGACGCGTTGGAACTGGTGCAACTAATTAAGGAAGACA